TTTTTAAATCAAAAAAGGTTTTTTTTTTCTTTTAATTACACAGTTGAACATGTATTATTTTATATTAATAGGCTAAAAATTTTGGGGTTTCTACATAAATAAATGTGTAATAAGTCGATTTTTTACTCAATATGTAGTACAAAAAATATTACACACGCGTATGATCTGCTAGAGGCAAACACCATTTTATTTCACCGAATTTTTGGCTTCGTTTTTTACAAATGAAACAGATGATACTTATTCAAAATTTTTGCAAAAAATTATAGTCAAACTAGTGAATGAAATAAAAAGTTGGTCGCCTAGAGTTTTATCTTTTACATACACATAATATATATGTAAGTAAGCAGCAACGTATAAATGTATTGAAAATGTTGCACGTGCTTGATCCAAATTTCGATAAAGCTGAATGAATAATTCTATTCAGTTTGAATATGTTTTTTTTTTTTCATTAATATTTATGGTTTCTATGGTTATATTACTAAATATTATCAAGAGGAGCAAACTGTGAATTGAATGTATCAGAGATCACACATCGTGTAAGGAGACACCTTCCACATAAAAGCTCAACTACTTGACTTCTTATCAATAATTATGTCGCGAAATCAAAGAATTTCCAGCGTCAGATGATTTTGAATATTATTTGTTGGTTTTGAATTACTATCAATTGTTATACATTTAAAATGGTTCAGACCAAATTTTACACTTGATAAATGTAGCTCGCAGTTAACTTACTTCTTCCTAAAGAGAATGTACGTAATTTCAATACATTTTTTTCCACTAAGATTAAATGAATTAAAATAGCATACAGATATAGATATATTTATATATATATATGTTTTTTTTTTTTTGTTTGTAATTTACGCAAGTAATAGCGCTGCTGAAATCTTATTTATCTGTCGTTGATCAAATCATGGTCCTTGGTAAAGTTATGTTCATTGAACAATACAATTTTATAACGTTCCAATAAGAGCGTGCACTGCTTGATTGTGTGTTTTATGGTTGGGTAGGGTAGAGTAAGTAGTAGTATTGGTATACTTAATTGTTCGATCTGTTCATAATATTCACTTTAGACCATTCTATATCCAGCGTAAAATGCTCACGCTCATTAATTTAAGGTGACACTGTTTCTCAGAAACGTCTTCTTCGTTCCCATGGATTATTGTTTGCGTTGTTATTATTGCCACCGCGCTGATTGCCACCTTGGTTTTGGTTACCACCACCAAATTCAAATGAAAACGGATCCTATTCGCAAGTGAATGTAATAAAGAATTTCATATGCAAATTGTTGTAGTTAAAACGGTTTCTGTTAATTAAAAATTGTATACGCAAAAAATGTAAACTTCCCACTCAACCATTCCTACTTCAAATTGGTATGCCGAAGTATACCAGTCTTATAGCTTTTGTGTATTCTTTTTTGGTTATAAATAATTAATGAAAGTCACGGGAAATCTATTCCAATTGCAATGACTCAAAAGTCCAAACTACTTGTAAAGCACATTCAGAATAAAATTTACATATTTCAATTGTATCCCCTTCGTACATACTTGTATATACGTACGTCATGACATATTGTACTCATGCAGTACCATCACAAAACAAATGAATTAATTTGCAGCATTTTAATCAAGTTCTACGAAGACTTCAGCTCTGTTCTGATGGTATTTCAACAGAAGCCCAAAGCGATCACACCACATTTTATGCAAATTTTCATTGCATATTCCCAAAAAATTTTTATGTTTTTTTTTAGTACATTTAAACAAAACCATGTTGAATACTGAATGTTACCGTGCATCATTGTAATGCGACGGGATCAAATATACGTATGTATTTCATTGTTTGTCAAATTTCTGATAGTACTGAAAACAGCCCAACCCAAAAGCATTTAAATAAATCTTGTTGAAGCGTTAAATGACACAGAAACATCAATTTGCATATACCAAATGTAAATTGAGTGTTAATCAAATATGTAATACCCCTATAGTGGCAGTATCAGCTAGTACCGTACGAAAACATTACAGTAAAGATATATTGTTTCCAGAGCGAGGCAGGCTTATGATTAATTTAAAAGTGACATAAAAAGTCAGGAGCGTTTCAATGACAAGAAAAATTGCTACGATAAGCGGTTTAGAATTGCGGTGGAATTTTGTATTTAATTTTACTATTTTCTTTGTATGGAGCAACGATGAATAGATGTGTGTATCTGAAATCTTGTGTGCATAGATACATAAAATGTTCGTGTTTGCTCTAATTTTGAGAGCTGGAAAACTATCGATGGCACTCGATAGTGCCGTTTTTAGGTTGTTACTATCGATAGTTGTAGCCGTTATCGATAGTATCTACAGTACTCTATCATTCTAATTTTATATTTATTGGTACAAAGGCTTTTTCGTTTAGATACATATCTAAGAAAGTATGTAAATAAAGCGAAAAAGTTCATATAATAATGCAGCTCTAAACCTAATTACCCGTTAAAAACGAAACGTTACAATCGATACTACCGATGGTGTAAAACTTAAACTATCGAGTGCCTCAAAAGGCAATTGTAAATAATTATGGCCGCATGCAGTTCCTGAATTGGAAAAACAATCAATTCAGCACAATCAGTTGCCAGCGAATATCCCACCGATAAGACAAAATGAAGTTTCACCGAAACGTAAGTGAGAAGGGCAGGGTCAATAATACCGGCATTATGATTACGTTAAAATATATATGGTCTTGTTCTACAAAATGTTCTTGCGCTACAAAAAAAGCAACGGTTTGAAGAGCTGCGTTATATTTCGGAAAAAACCCCATATCTAGCAACGCCAAAACGTACTAATCGAATTCTTAAATTTGTGAAGAACTCATTTAATAGTTATCAAGATATCTACGCAAGCGTCCCACCATGCAAAACATGAGAAATAGGCAACAATCGTCAATGGCAACAAATTGGCGACTCACCGATTTATTGCTGTGGTGACAAATCGGCAACACCACTTCGTTCATGTCAATTTTGAATAAAAAAGTTCTCAAAAATTCGGAAACTTATGAATATGGCGTCAATAGCATTGGCCAAAAGCATCTAAATTATGCCCAAGGACAAAATTGAAAAAATAGGAAGTCTCACAGCGAGAAAATGAATTAATTCCGATTGTAAGTTGCAATTTGGTATACAAAAAAATAAATGAAGTATCAAGAAGAATAAAATTATTCCAAATATCGCCTGAAGCGATAAGAAAAGGACTCATTCAGGTAATAAGAAAACGACTCACCCAGGCGAGTTGCCTTCGGCGGACGTTTTAGAGCGACCGGTAATAGGAAATCGATTCGATGGCAATATTACCGGCAATAAATTTGTTTCCGAGGGCGACACGTTTTCTTATTGCCGGCAACATAAATTGTTTGGTGGGGTGTGACAAAATTAGACGAGTTAATTCTACGCTTGCTCCCAAACCTAACTGTACTATGATGATTTGAAACCTAATTTCGGGCAAATAATAATAAAGGCCAAAGACGATTTCGTACTTGACCATAAAGAATATTTATTTTTCCATTTACAAACTTTTTTAAACTACACCTAGTTCTAAATTCCATATGGGAAGCTGAACTATAAATTAAATCCGCCACTGGTGTGATTTGACAGTTGCTCGATTATTTTTCGTTTACACAAAAACGGTACGAGACTGTCTCCTTTTGATTTCGAAATGTTTACACGTTGAGAAGATAACTGCCAATGTAGAAGTATTACATATATCGTGTTAGTAGATCATTAATCATTGTTTAGATATCCCTTTTAATCCCTGAATAACGTCATTCCAAAAGTAATTTATTCTGAATATCAGATTCCAATAGCAAATCACAAATCAGCTGCAACTTTTCTGAGATGAAAATTTGTCAGCCTGAGTATCAGAGTCTCCCCACAAGAGCCCAAATTCAAAACCATATACGTATGTAAAAGTCTATCCAGTTTGGCGCCTCCTCTGTTCGCGCGTACACCACCAGCACAATTAACAAACTATTTAATCAAGCAAACTAACTACAATACGAATTAAGACGCTTACGCGCTTCAACTTAATAAATTTGTTCAGAAAATTTTAGCCAAAATATGCTTCTTGAAATAATGATAGACCTTTAAGTCAACATTGCAATCAGACACACTCCCCGTAACATTTGTTGTTTAAGTAACCCATATGTATATGCAATATAATCGTAAATGAATGTAAACATGCATCTCCTTTTCACATTAGAAAGCAAATAACCTAACATAAAATAAAGCCATACAGATTTTGTATGCTTCATTCTTAATACAAATTCTGTTTACTGCTTAATTTCTCAGTAGTGAATTTACGAAAGAATGTCATTTTATAGCAAATCACGAACCAAACTTGTGCTAAGGCGAACTCTCAAAGGCCTAAGCAATATATTGTCTTACTTAAGCATTAGACATTAAATTGCAGTTCCTTTGAAATGCATAATTGACATTTGGCCGAATGTCAATACATTCCTAGAGAATGTTCGCCATATGCACTTGGAATGGATATGAATAGCTACATAATTTATATATTAGCATTAATCTTACAATCGCTACCAGTAGTTTCACATATCAATACGTATCTGAACAGCGAAATTGAAGTATATATATATTTTTTTTTTTCCTAAAAACGCCTCAGAAGAGGCACATTATTATTATCTTTTTTGGTTTACAAATTAAAAATATAAAATATTGCCATTACAAAAGCGAGTTTTTTTTCGAATTTGAAACGCATTTACTAAAAGAATGCATAAAATATAACACCACAAAGGTGGAAATTGAATTTGGTGTGAATCTATTTCGAAATACGATTGATTCAATAATTGTCGTCACTTGTATAAAGCGCTGCAAAGCATTTAGGATGCAAAAGTATGATCCACTTTGCAGCTATCTTTTTTTTAACTTTGTTTGTACTTTTAAATGCAGCATGTTTGTTGAGTTTGTTTGCCTAGAAACTTCATCGCAAGAAGAGATCGAAAAATGAACGTACCTGTGGATTATTAGGCCCATTGCCAGTGCCGTTGCCACTATTACCACCACCGGCATTGCCGCCTAAAAGTGCAGAAATTGGATCTGACGTTAATTATTAGTATAATTCGTTCCATTCAAAGTCAGAAATTTTACCTCTGAATTCAAATGGCGAATTGTTGGATGCTCGACCAAAGTTGTCGAAATTATTACCTCCATTATTGTTACCGCCAAAGCCTTCTTGCTGGTCAAGCAATGAGTTCAGTTGCTGTGCTTGCATAAACAATGTGTTTTCCTGTTGACGGCGGCGCATATCTTCTTCTTGACGCAACATTCGTGTCTGCATTTCAGTTTGTTGGCGATGCATATTTTCTTCGTCGCGTTTGCGCATTTCTTCTGCCTGTTTCTCACGCATTTCCCACTCCATCTTCTTGCGTTCATTATCGGATTCGCGTTTCCGCAACTCTGTACATAGAACGAAATAAATTATTTAATGCATTTAAATACATAATAGCATCTCCTCAATCCAAGAATTCGGGCTTACCTTGTCTGAGCAGTTCAGTTTCGTGCTCATAGCGAGCATATTCCATTTGGGCCTCGAGTTTCTCTTCTTCCATTTTAAGTTCTCGTTTTAGTGCTTCTTGCTTTGTTTTAAACAATTCATGCAATTGCTTCCATCTGGTACCATATTCATGTTCGAATGAACCTATTTCTGCGAATCTCGGCCCTACACTGCGTTCATGATTGAATTCTGGCGATTTTTTATTTAGTGATTTATCTGGCAAACCATCATCGTCTTCATTTACTTCGAACGGCTCAACCACACATGGCCGTAAAGAAGCGGTGAGGAAGAAACATTTCTCACTGCAGAAACGTAGACACACATTTGCCGACGACTTTTTGGCAAATTCAATAATACCTTCTCCGATAGATTTGCCACGATCATCAACCACAACGTTTGCACGCTCGATGGGTCCAAAAACTTCAAAAGATCTGTAGAGCAATTCATTTGATACAAAAGGTGTTAAATTTTTAACGCGTAGTATCGTGGCATTTGGTGCAAAACGCACGCGTAATTGCCGACCCTTGCGATTGGTACCATCCAACTCACGCTTTGCACGCTGTGCATTTGCATGAAAGTCCAACTTTAGGAATGTAAAATTTTTCTCAGCATTACAGAATATTTCTCCGATTTCGCCATAAGGTTTAAACATCTCACGCAACTCATTTTCTGATACATCATTAGTTAGATTACCAACATATAAACGATTGCGTCCTGAAAATTTAGGTTCTTCGGTTGCTTCAACTGGCTGTATTTCGTATGTTGGCCCTCCCATGGCTC